TAGATTTCGAAACGTCAGGTGAATAAAAATACTGTCCCAGCGAACGAGTCGCCTTCTACTTCTCTAGATTAGGCGTGACCAGGGCCGTACCAAAAATGAAAAGTCACAAACTCAGCGGCTCAGTGGTTGAAGGTACAGCAGATGGGCTATCTCATGAAATCCAAGTATTTTTACAAGGAAATCCCTGTTACGCAAACGCAACTCACTTTGCGTCTCCCAAAGTCTTAGAGCAGTAAAGTAATGGTCCTTCTTCAACATAAAGCGTATTGCGATTTATGAAGTAATTTTACGCTGTTTAGAAATACCAGCTTATTTTAGAAAAGCGGAAAATTCAGAAAAAAGTGGAAGTCGGGCGTATTAGGTAAACTTAAGTTTTATATTTAGAGAAAGCCTGTTTAAGCAGAAAAGATCGTGTAAATAAAGCAGCACAAGTAGAATTACGGTGAAAAATAATCGTTTTACAAAATTTTCGGATACATGTGTTGCCATATTACGTGCCGTGTAATGTATGGCTTTTACCGAACAAAAATGCTGGGACTAGGGGTATATGAGATGTACTGTCTAAACTACCTTTGTCCACGAAAATAACGACCAAAAACAAGCGTATGTACAAACACCCGAGCTATGCCATCAATTGTCACTGTTAAGCCGTATGCAAAAGATGTTCAAGCATTTTCTAGCTATAGCGCATTATCAACGAATAGAAAAACTTAAAATGGAACGGAAGAATATTATTAGTTTTCTCAAAAGCGTCGTTGATATTCTGCCACTCTGTTCGGCACTTGTTATCTTAGAAGTGAGCCTAGAAGTAAACAAATATAAGTAAAACTTCTCCGGTATAGATAGAAAAGTGAGATGTATCCGTAACTTTTAGGGAAGTTAAAAAAATTGGCCAAAATTTCCCATTTCGATCTTGACTTAATCTTAAAAAAAGGTAAAATACACAGGTATTGGACGTGGAATTGTCTGAGTAAAGAGCTTATTCATTAATAAAGTGACTTTAGTAATGTCTCTTATGAAGCATCTAGAGTGGTCTATACCGAGTTAAAATTTTTGAGTCGTGTACGATCCTGTAAGATCTGCAGGACGCCGCTGGAGGCTTCTGTGGCGACAGTAGCAGAAAGTGCTCTTCAGCCAACCAATCACGTCCTAGCTAACAGGTGTGCGACTGGGCTGGAGATCGACAGTCTCCATCTCATTTTTCTGCA